AATGCCCAAACCCCCAACCCCCACCAAGCAGTGCCCGGTGTGCCGCCAGGAAGGGCACTTGAAGTCTGACTGTCGCTCGCTGGCTTCCCCCGGCTGTCCCAGCAGCCGGGGTCAGTCCTTCCCGGCTGGTGAGCCTCTGGGGCTTGCTGAGGAAGACTGAAGATGCCCGCACTCGGACACCCCAATAACCCCAGCCGAGCCCAGGGTCGCCATCCAGGTAGTGGGTAAGTCCCCCTCTGGTTTATTGGACACGGGGCTATTCCATCCTTCCTTCGTATGGTGGGCGTAGTCTCCCTTCCACGGTCACTGTAATGGGGATGGATGGCACCTCCTCAACCCCCAATCAAACCCCTTCTTGCTCTGCGTCTTAAACCAACACCCTTTCTCCCTTTCATTCCTAATAAACCCCTCATGTCCTGTTCCGTTGCTCAAATGAGACATTTTACAATGCCTTAAAGTCTCCATTTCCCTAATACCTCAGCTGCCTCATGCTGCCCATCTCCTTTTTGCCGCTGTAGCCACCCTGGGGCCAGACGCTCCTCCCAGAGCAATATTCAGCCTCCAAGAAACCACCACCAATTCCGTGCAAACCTCCCATATGAGGACTGGGCAATTAATTTTACACACATGCCTAAACAGAAACATCTTAAATATTTGTGAACTTTGATAAATACCTTTTCAGGATGGATTAAAGCATTCCCTACCAGCCGGGAGACAGCAAATGTTGTCGTTCAAACTCTCCTAAAATCTATAATCCCTAGGTTTGGCCTTCCACATGCTATCCTGTCTGACAATGGCCCAGCCTTCATTTCACAGGTGTCCCAACAGGTGTCAGCCGCCCTGGGAGTTCATTGGAAGCTACATATTCCTAATCCCCGCCCCCCCACCAGGCAAGGTTAAGTGCGCCAAGGAACTTACAAAGTCCCAGTTAACTAAGCTCTCCTTAGACGTCCGCCTCTCGTGGCCAGATCTCCTTCCTGTTGCCTAAACCCACCTCTGGGCTTCTCCTAGGAAGCCCACGGGTCTCAGCCAGTCTAAAATTCTATACAGCCGTCCATTTGTCCTAAATTATTCTCTGCCTCAAAATGAAACTCCGCTTTCAGCTTGCTTACCCACTCTATCTTTGCTCCACATTTACTGAGGTCCTACGCAGACCAACACCTTCCAGGAGTAAAAAATACCTCTTCTGGGCACCCAACCCTTAACCTCTCCCCAGGGAACCAAGTCCTAGTAAAAACTCGTCCTGCACCTGACCCTGGGCTCCAACCACGGTGGAAAGAACTATACACTGTAATACTCACTACCCCATCGGCAGTCAAACTGGTCTAACTGATGGGGGCGGGGGGTGGGTAGGGGGTTGGGGGGGGGTAATCATCTGACGCAGGGCAAGCAAGCAACCCTGAAACCCAAACCCACTTAAAACAAGTAAACTTCTAACCTCATCGGCCCAACTTCACCCCGCCTAACTAAAACCTCCCCCTAAATGATTTCAGTATGCCTCCTCCTCTTTCTCCTAGATTGAAGAGTTTCAATGCAAGAAGCTAGGGTCCAAAGGGTCCTTGTTTTGACTCGCTCTCCTCTCTTTTTTTTTTTTTTTACCCCTTATTATATGTTTTTAAAATTGCCTTGCAGCAACTGCTCCAGCCAACTGAACCACTGGTCAAAAAGTCTGTCTGGGGTTCAGTTATGTTGCGATTTGTTCCTGTTTTTTCCTCTTCAGGTGTTGGCTTCCGTAAACACGGAAATCCAGTACACGGAAATGCGGTCACCCAGCAACCAATGGCAGTTCATAGTTACCGAAACCTGGGCTGATGATTTGGGAACCCATTCGCAGGTTATAGGCAAAAAGTATTGTCAGCCTGAAGGCTGCCAATCTCCAGTGTCAGTTCCTGTAAGACCTTTCACTGCACTCTCCCAATGTGGTCCCACCCCTCCTGTTTCCTGTATGACCAAACCAAATCCAGCGGCTGCAGCACTAAATGGGTAAAAGAAAATGGAGGTTGCCATGGAATTCCTGCGTGATGCACAAATACCAAATGGATCTGGAAGGAAAGCGGAAACAAAAGTATCGTCTCACCGGTAACCATCCTAACGGTACTTTTTGGATCAACATCCCTGACCCATGGGACACTCGCTGGCAAAAAGGTGTCCCAGAAAAAAATCTATTGTTATCCGGGTTCCTCTTACCCTTATCAATCTATATGCAGTGAATCCTCATTTATCGCAGTTAATCGGTTCTAGACCCTACCGTGATAAATGAAATTCCGCGAAGTAGGATTCCTTATTTGTAAATCAAATATTTTCGTAGTTAGAGCATAGAGGACATGAAAAAACACCCTTTAGTCACCATTACACTCGTATTACCCAATTTATTAAATGAAAAAGGGAAAATACAGTAAAACATTTTGGACGTTACAATGATCATTTATTATTTATTATATTATTTATGGCATCAAGCGTGTACAGTATGAGCCAATCAGTGGCAGTAACGACAGAGCATGCGCTGTTACGCAAAAACCGCGATAGAGTGAAGCCGCGCGGAAGTCGAAGCGCAAAGTGGCGAGGGTTCACTGTATATCTATCATGCTTACGTACGCACTGGCTGGCCGATCAAACCCGGCTAATTCAAAAAGCCCAACAAGAACTTCAAAAACAGGTTACAGGACAGAGGTCCAAGGAAAAACCTTTTTCTTGGCTCACCATTATCCAAGGGCAGCCCTTAACAATTCCAACCTGGTTAATCTTTCCTCTTGTTTCCTTTGTGCTGCCCTCCATAGGTCTCCTCTGGCAGCAGTACCTTTACCTCAACTGTTTAACTACACGGAAACAGGTGCCTTTCCACCAGTAATTAAAGCTCCCCTGTTCCACAACCCACTGCTAAAAAAATGGCCGTTTTACTATTCTGACCCGGAACAAGGTTGTAACAACACCACAAGTAACCTCACTTTTCCCCTCAATGCCCCACCCACCAGCCAAATTCTTTTGGTGCAATGGCACCCTGACAAAAAACCTTTCCACTCCTTCCCCATCCCATCTACGTATGCCGGACACCTAGTTCCCCAGCTAACTATATACAGTCCCTGAGATAAACGCTCTGCAAAGTCCCTCCCATGGCACCACCAGACACACAAGGGCAGTGTTCCTCCCTGTCATGGTTGGTTTAGCGGTAGCCTCTTCCTTGGTTGGCTCAGGAATGGGGGCAGAAGCCCTATCCCACTCTGAGCCCACTCTGAGCTCTTCACAAAGCTGGTCCTCCAAACTGCAAGCGGCAATTAAAAACAGTGCATTATCTTTAAATCTCTTACAGCACCAAATAACATCTCCAGCCCAAGTAGCCTTACAAAACAAAAAAGCCCTAGACCTCTTAACGGTCGATAAAGGGGGAACGTGCATATTCCTGAATAAAAAGTGCTGCTATTCAAAAGGTATAGCGTCTGGGGTCTTAAAGGCTTGAAGGTAATCAAGCAGCCATCAAGCTCAGAAGCAACAAGGCCCACATGGAAGAAGCACACCAGCCTATGCGATCACGAGGTGTCGAAGGGATCAGGTATAAGGCATCATCAGAACAAAAAATCTTACCATAGTGAATGATGTGGGGAGTGCAGAGTGGAGACCCAAAGCTCATTAGTAGGCCACTGGAGAACCCCTTGCAGAGGGGTCTCGGGGAGGAGAGGAACCCTTGGTATTGGCTCATTGCCCATCCACCCCCTTTCTCCCGTCCTCCTTCACAAACCCTTGGCTAACTGAAACACTGGAGGTCTGAGTACCTACAAGAAAATCTTAGCAATGTGCCTTTGAACTATCGGGCATTGAAATCCCACGGGGCCCCATGAGTCAGTATTCAAGCCTTGGCACAGCTCTAAAACCCAAACTCACTACCAAAGTGTCAATTCTGATTCATATTGAGCCCACAGGTCAGGGCAGAACCGCCCCTGTGGGTTCATGGAATTGTAAAGGTAGGATTGTAGAAAGTCTCGCCTCCCCTCCCCTTCCACATGTGTTGATGGTTTCAAACGGCTGACCTTGAGGTTAGCAGCCCAACTTGTAACCACTGCATTGACACCTCGAAGTAGATAATAGGTAGTTTTTGCTATACTTCACTTTTCAGAAATTGGTTGTGCACCATGTCTGCTTATATAAATAGTCTTTTATAACCTCTGGCAAACTTTATTATGATTTTTTCCCTCTCATTTCTAAAAGCAGTCCAAATAGGAAGTATATGCCTTAATTATGCTGCAAAATCTGTTTTTTTTTTAAGGCTCTCATTTGCCTTAAGGTGCTTTTTGCCATTCAAAAAATTAAAATTCTTGAATCATAAAAACTATATTTTTTAATGATTTTCAGGCTTCAAGTCTTAAGAAGATTCTTGTTTAAGTACAGATAATTTTGTAAAATCAATTTACATAATCCCAGTTTTATTTTTCTGAGAGCCTTTATGTTTGTGTATATGTGGCCAGAGTCAAATTAATTCAATAAATAGGCCTACAAATATGGGAATATTGAGAAGGGACAGAGAAACGGGGAACGTCGGATTCCACTCACTCAGATACGCAGGCCGGAACAGATGAAAACGATTACTGGGTCTATCCGTACAGCTAGGTTAGCATGGGACGCTTCTGCTCCCAAGAGTCCGTAAAAAGATGAGCTGTTTTACTTGTAAGAAGTCTGGGTGGCGATTCCTTTCCTGGACATCTGAGAAAGGAGTCACCGAGGGCTATTCAACACAAAATTTTAACATGCAACACTCCACCAGCGTCCCAGAGCGACACCACTCAGCGCAGGTGAGCTCCCGGGGCTGAAATCGGAGCAGGCGCCCTTTCACAAGCTCCACCCTGCAGCCGACGGCGCATGCGCCCTTTCACAAACTCCACCCTGCAGCCGACGGCGCATGCGCCCTTTCACAAGCTCCACCCTGCAACTGGCAGCGCATGCGCACTGGCCAGCCTGCGTCCGTTCCCTGGCTCTGCAGGGCTTGTGCGGGCGCTGGGGCGGCTGGGAGGATGGCGGGCTTGGGGGCCACTGCCTTGGGGGCGTGGGCGCCTTGGCGGCGCTGGGCTTGGCCGGCTCGTTCTTTCGGTCCCCACGGCTTCCTAGCACGGAAGCCCGAATGGGCGCCACGTTGGTTCGCAGGTCAGTGTCAGAAAGGCAGGCGTGCGCGTTTGGGGCGCCCGGTTGAACATGCTCACACGCCCTGCCCCACCGGGCACCCCCGGGGTACCGGCGCCCTGGGCAGGTCTGCGGCCGGGCCGGGGCTCCGCGGCGGTAAGCGTCCCCCGGGAAAATCAACCTGTGCACCCCACTAACCTGTTCCGTGGATGGGTGGCCCGCTTTTTACCTTTTCTTTGGTCCCCGCTCAGTTCGAGTGGTAAGGCTCTTAAAGATGGTTAAACCTGACTACCTGGTTTAGGGGACTTTGAACGTGAGACGCGCTCATGAGGCCTATTTTCTAATTTTATATTCTGCTTGCCCTACTCAATGAAATAGACATGTTATTTTCCGCAAACAAAGCTAGAATTTGGGGCCAGAAATCAGAACCTGAACATTTCCTTTATCTTGTGTTTGATCCTTCCACCTACAGCGTCGTATATAGCTCATCTTTCTAATTACATATATAAATTAGATTATATATACACTATATATATATTATGTATGATATGTACATATATATATAATATAGCCAAAAATGAAAGGATATGTAAAATCATTGGCCTTGACAGATGCATGGTGCCTGGGTCTTTCAGGTACATACTTGGTTTGGATGAACATTTTAAAACTTGGATAGCTACCCCACGTAACCTGATGAAACTGCCCGCCCAGGCTCCCTTGGCCGTCAGTGCGCCATGGTTTCTGGCCATTGGACTTTGGGGTTAGCAACCGGTGAAGCACTTAACATTTGTACCACCAGTGCTCTTTATAATTAATTTAACTTACATTTAATTATACACAGTCTAAAAGTGTGTGAAGTATAATGAGTTAGTTCCTTAAACTGGAGTTTAATACCCTCTATGCAGCAAGCACTCATTGAGCACTTACACACCAGACTTTGAGCTAATCTTTATAGCACAAGAAACATTTTGTGACTATAAAGAGTCTGTCCACTTAAGCCAAGGTTACATAAATTGTAACTGTGTCTGGAAATTCCTTTGTTGTGATAGCTGAAAAAGCTGAAAAAAGCCAGGAAAGGTTTTTCGTTTTGTTTTTTTCAGTGCTGAGCTAAAAGAATGGGAAATGAATTTTTTGCTGATGTAATCTGCCAGCCTTTATGATGCATACAACATCATTGGCCCCTACTTAATCCTGTTTTTCATGAAAACTTTTACATTTGTCCTGTTTCCTTACATGTTGAAACTTAAAAAAATCCTTACATGTAAAATGAATAGTTTTATGGCCTATAATATTTTTAAAATCATTTTATTGGGGCTCATACAACTCTTATCACAATCCATACATAACATCAATTGTGTAAAGCACACTTATACATTCGTTGCCCTCATCATTCTCAAAATTCGCTTTCCGCTTGGGTTCCTGGAATCAGCTCCTCGTTTTCCTTTTTTTTTAATTCAACTTCTCAGATCTGAAATGGGGAAAACTTGCACCTGGAAGAAAGTTTTATTTAAACAAAGAATCAGAAGACACCTTTATACACACGCACATGCATAGGAATTATTATATGTGACATATATTTAAGATATACAGTGAACCCTCGTTTATCGCGGTTAATCGGTTCTAGACCCTACCATGATAAATGAAATTCCGCGAAGTAGGATTCCTTATTTGTAAATCAAATATTTTCGTAGTTAGAGCATAGAGGACATGAAAAAACATCCTTTAAAAAAAAAAAAAAAAACATTCTTTCTTCGTAATTTGACTCGTATTACCCAATTTATTAAACAAAAAAGGGAAAATACAGTAAAACATTTTGGACGTTACAATTATCATTTATTATTTATTATATTATTTATGACATCAAGCGTGTACACTATGAGCCAATCAATGGCAGTAATGACAGACGCGCAGTTACGCAAAAACCGCGATAGAGTGAAGCCGCGGAAGTCGAAACGCGAAGTGGCGAGGGTTCACCGTATATTTATATATATATATTTAAGACATATATTTCCTGTAAAGGGACTGTAAGGACATGCATAGACCTAATGCAGTGGTTCCCAACCTTCCTAATGCCGCAACCTGTTAATACAGTTCCTCATGTGATGGTGACCCCCAACCATGAAATTATTTTTGTTGCTACTTCATAACTGTCATTTTGCTACTGTTATGAATCGTCATGTAACTATCTGATATTCAGGATGTATTTTCATTGTTACAAATTGAACATAAAGCATAGTGATTGATCATAAAATATATAATTACATATTGTGAAATATTTCTAATGACAAATAAATGAACTTTTGTCTTGAAGCATGGTGTAGCATGGGTAACAATCTTCAAGCAGGGTACTTGTAAGTGGCCGTATCTGCATGTTGGTGGATCCTTCTGGAAACGGATAGAGGAGTGGTGTCTCAGTTCCTAAGACCATCGGAAATATGTGTTTTCCGATGGTCTTATGTGACCCCTGTGAAAGGGTCGTTCAACCCCAAAGGGGTAGGTGACCCACAGGTTGAGAACTGCTGACCTAATGCTTTTGAAGGATAGGATTATAAATGATGTTAAAAGATTTATTTTTTAAGAACAAGTATTGATTTTACAGGTGGAACAAAAACCATTTGTTAAAAAAATGAACCCTTAAATACCTGGTAAGGTACACCTGTTGCACGCAGATGCCTGTGTCCCATTCACAGAAAGCTAAACCAACAAATAAAAAGTGTTTGTAGTGTTCTATGAAAAATCTCTTTCAAATGTGAGACTGCTGCACATTATTCAAAGTCACTTGTAAAGAAACCACTTGATAAAGATGTATAATTGACTGTGCTCATGGCCCGTGATTTAAGGGGGATGGGACTCAGTACCAAGAAGGGTCACAGCACTTCTATCTCTCAAGCAGCCTTTCACAAGCAGACCAGACCTCCTCCCTGAAAAGTGCAGGGTGTAAAAATGTTCAGACATTAAACAAATACAGACGAAAACATCACCAGGGTTGGGCAATCTGAATGTTGATTGAGAGGATTGAGGCTAACTAATAAAGCAGCAACAGGAAAAAAAAAAAAAGACATTTTGATGAGTCTCTGTCTTGTTGCCTTGAAACATCCACCATTATGTATTTTGGACGAATCAAGAATGGACCCGGCTCAGAGAAGATACTGATTTTAGCACAGTTTTAAAACTAAAATCTCATGGACAGATGTGTGGCTTGAATACCTGAAGTCTGCTTTTCCTCTTAAACAAATAGATGATTGGACATCAGTTCGGAGAGTTCAGAAAGTTAGACTTGAAATTATGGTTTCCCATAACGTATTTGCAAACGATAGTTTATATTTTGTGTACTTTTTTTGTTTTTTTTTTTAGCTTGCAGGCAAAAGACATCACTATCTTTCCTTAATCGACCAGAGCTTCCAAACCTGGCTTACACGAAGCTTAAAGGCAAAAGTCCAGGAGTTATCTTCATCCCGGGCTATCTTTCTAAAATGGACGGTATAAAAGCACTGGCAGTTGAGGAGTTTTGCAAATCTCTAGGTCACGCCTGTATAAGGTAGGAGCTGTACGTTTCAGAGAAGACATGGCAACCATGTGCCACGAAAATGGAGAACTATTTCTGCTTTGGCCAATGGCATTAAATGCCAGCATTTTTATGGATTAACTTATATTAGTGATCTGTAAGCTTTAACTTGGGACTTGAATTCAGTTCCTATAAACGTTCTCTCTTCTAGCTCCATCTACCGTATATACTCATGTATAAGCTGAGTTTTTCAGCACATTTTTAATGCCGTTTTTGTGGTAAAATTAGGTGCCTCGGCTGATTTCAGGTAGGCTTATTCTTGAGTATATAAGGCAAGTGGTATTTTGCGGGACTTTGGGGCAATTGTGGTGCTTCCTTCTTTTTAAAAAGGTTTTTATGCCACACAGACAGCCCTGTCCAGGACTGTAATACATCTTCAGAGAACGCGGCATAACTCCACCTTTGAGATGCAGTAATTTACATCACAAGAAATGGATGTCACAGCTAATGTTGCTGTGCTCCTTGTAATCATATAATCTGATTTTTCGCTGACAACCTTAGGACTTTTATTTGAACGTTACTTACTACGTTAGTTCTACTGTATGTCTTTAAACGAAAGGTAAAATTAGTACCAATCTCACAGCCAGAGTCAGTTCTGACCCTGAGGGAATGTATCTAGGGTTTCCAAGGAAAAGCCTCTTCAAAGGAGCAGAAAGTTTCACCTTGCTCCCTGATGGTGCTATTGGGCAAGTGTTGAACTAGCTGCCAGGTTGGCAGTTCAAGCCCACCGGCTGCCTCTCGGGAGGCAGTTAAGGTTATCTACGCCCATAAAGATACATAACCTCTGAAACTGTATAGGGTCCCTGTGTGTCAGAATTAACTTGAAAATCACAGACTCCACTGGGGCAGGGTTAGAACAGTGGAAACACTCCCTTCAGCAGCATATAGGCTGAGGCAGAGAACTGGTCAATAGTAGCTTTACACTTTGGTATTTGTGCTTAATACAGGTTTCTATGTTTTTGTGGCAGTGTTTTCTGACTTACCCTCATATAGTATAAATGGCAAAGCAGATGAAGGCCCATGTTAAAATAGGTGAATCTGAGTAATGGTTATGAGTATTATTTTTATTTTGGTAAGTTGTCTATAAATTGGAAATTATTTCTAAAAATATAAGATGAAAAATGAATGGCCATGTTTACCAGTTCTTGAAGGAGTTATCTCCAGGTCTTATCATGGTATAAAACATCCTGTCGGGTTTTTGCACGTCAAAAACCGTTCTTTTGGATGTCAAATATAGTTTTAAGGTTTCAATAATCATGACATAAAGTAATTGAATAAGTTAGTGGTCATGTATTAAACAATTAAGTAGGCCTTTAATAACCCTTTGCTATAAAAGTCTAAGTTCCTTTTTATGTACGTGCTAAAACGTCATTGCAGTACTACGATTTGCTGCACTGAAGCCGCCTCTAAGGGATGGCATCTTCAGAGTGCTGACCAGTGTGTCATCGTGCTGTCTTCTTTTGTTGTCTTTGGCTACGTATGTACAGTTTTAATGAGGAGATATCTGGTTTTATATAAGATGGTATGTCTGACTATATGAAAAGAGTGCCTGCATTTTCCATCACCGCGTGTAACGTACTATTAAGTCTTAGCTCAGGAGTGTGACACGTGGTTCCAGGGGCAGTAATCTCTAACACTTATTTCTAGTAGAAGTTTTCATTTTAGGTTTAGGACTATGTCTTGGAACATGGAGGCTGTCAGGACAGAACTTATGTTACCGTATTTCAAAGTTGTAAAGTACTTCATGTGTACTTTGTCTCTGTTAGAATTTAGCAAGAATTGATTTTTTTTTTTTAATTTGTAACCTATTAGCCACCCTAGTAAAGTTTTCCTTGGTGAAAGGGCGTCACCAGTGTTTTACATCCTCATGTATTGGTAAGGTATCTGTACAACGTACTACAGGTATTAAGACGTCAGGGTCTCCCTAGGAGGAGGAAGGAAAGCATTAATTGTTGGCGTCCTCACCTCTCCCGTCACACGGTTTTTTATGGACCCTGGATCAAGGGGGAACATCTGATGTTGAACTGCTGCCTTTGTCCTAATTCCTAAGGATCCAAAATCATTTTATCATCATCATTTTAGTGGCTTGTTATTTTCTTTCACTCCTAAATACCTTATCCCTAAAACTATATGCTATACCCCAAATCAAATCCACTGTCTCTTGAGTCAATGCTGACCCTCGGGGACCTTATTGGACAGAGTGGAACTGTCCCATGTGGGTCCCAGACCGTAAATGTTTGTAGAAGCAGACCTCACAGCTTTCTCCCAAGGAGCAGCTGGTGGATTTAAACCATCAACCTTTTGGTTGATGGCTAAGCCCTTGAATCACTGTGCCACTAGGACCCTTGTATTTGTGCTGTACCTTATATCTACTGAAGAACAAGACAGATCAGCTATGTGAATAAAGTAATAGAAGGTATTTTTTACTTTATACTTTTCATTTGTATTTGTTTTGTACGTATATATTGTCTGGTATGTGAGTCATACCTAGCTACAATTAAGAGACAAAAATAAGATAATGAGATTTACTCTGTAAGACCTTAGAATCACACACACACAAACTGGCAGAAAACAGGATAAAGTATGTTGCCTGTAGCTGATAGAAAGTAAGTCTGTAGACATTTCACAAGGGAGAAAGCTTTCCCCCTGACATATCTAGGAAGTGTCTGTCCCCCCAAAGTTAATTTGAACTGGAACCTGAAGGGCTGCAAGCCTTGGGCGTGACAAAAAGGTATTCCAGGTGAAGGAAACAGCGTGAGGATTCCAACAGAAATTAGTAACATTTACATAATTTAGTGAAAGCAAGTTGCTCAGTTTGGCAATTGCAGTAGCTTCCTCTGGTGATGTGCTAAAAGCTCAGGTGACCAGAGTACAATGGTCTAAGAAGCACGGGGCTAAAGCACTCCATCACAGGGAGCCGTTGAAGGCCCTGCTATCTCAAGGTCATATAAAAGTCCCAACCCTGACATGGGTAAAGCAGAATAGTGTGGAGACAATAAAGTCATAGTTAGCATTGAGAAGGTCATAATCTGCTGCCATAATAATAGGTTTAAGATGACAAAATCTGCACCAAGATTTGGCCATACAAAACTAAGCGAAGAGGACGTGACGAGCCAGGAAACCTTTCTTCTGCCCCCTGGGAAAAGAAATTGGAAGATAGTCTTCTGCCTGGCAAACTGCTGGTATTCTACTTGGAGGGAGGCCAGTGTAGAAAGCTTGTCAATAGCACACAGCCTGAGCAGGGGTAGTGTGTCCATGCAGAGGACAGAGTGGTACTAAATGAAGCAGAGCGTGCCCAAGACAATTCCTCAAAGGGGGTGACGTGACTGGGAGTTTGGGTAGGGAAGGCAGGCTTTTTAGGGTGCACAGGGTTATGAAGTGACATTCAGAAATTGCAAGTTGTTTAATACGAATAGGGCTTTGGTAATCCATGACACTGGTGTGATGCCTGGTGCTTTACCGAATTGGGGGATGTAAACCAAACCCCAGATGCGTGCACTACCATCGATTCTAACTCACGGCAGCCCTTTAGGATGATAGCCCTGCCCCATGGGTTTCCAAGGCTCTAAATCTTCACTGGAGCAGAAACATCTCTCGCTCCTTACAGAGCAGCTAGGGGCTTTGAACTGCTGCCGTGAGGCTAGCAGACCAGCACGTAACTCACTCTGCCACCAGGGCTCCTTTGGGAACCGAAAGGACAGGTACAAGTCGGAGATCAAATAGACTTCAGCGTAAGGAAGTGGGAAGTGTGAAACACAAACTCAGTGCATGGGTCCCAAACCCAACTCACTGCCGTCAAGTCACCTCTGACTGGGCGACCCTCTAGGACAGAGTAGAACTGCCCTGCAGGGTTCCAAGTCTAACTCCGTATGGGAGGAGAGAGCCGAATCATTCTGCCGCCGAGCGGCGGGTGGTTTTGAACAGTTGGTCTCACAGTTAGCAGTTGTGGATTGCGCCACCAGTACTCCTGGGGTACACAGATGAGTGATGATAAAAGGGATTCTGGACTTCTCCTTGCCTTTAGTAAATAACATCCTGAGCACTTAGTATGTAAGGTGCTGATGTGGGCCCTGAGAAAACAGAGGACCTCCGTGGAGCATCCTTTATTGTGGGAGACGGCACAGCACAAATGAATCATCAAAGTACACATTGTCCAGTAGTGGGAAGTGCTACAAAATGAAACCGTGATTAAAGGAGGTACATAGTTTTAGATCGGATGGTCAGGGAAATCCTTCTGAGGCTGAACCATTTGAACCAGTGGCTGGTTGACGTTAGGTTGTCTGGAGGTAGAGTATTCTATGTGGAGGAAAAGCTGATGTAGCCATCGCTGGGCAGAATGTGGTACAACCTGTAAGCTTCAAGAAGGAAAGGGAAGGTCCGGCTGGGCAGGAGGGGAGCCGGGTAAGAACTGAGTTCACAGAGGCAGTCAGGGCGTGGTAGGGACTGGATTTTATTCTAATCGTTAATAGAAGGCCTTTGATGGCTTTGTGCCAGATAGGATTCTTGTTTTAAAAGGGTCACTACTGTGTGGAGACTGTAAGAGTGAAACATAGTCACATTAGTCCACTCAAGATGTCCTGGACCAGGCGGGTAGCAGTCGAGGAAGTGAGAAACATTGGATAGAGGAGATTGTTGAAGGTTAAGCCAATAGGATGTGCTGAACTAGAATATGGTTGATAATTTAATGTGCTGTAGACATTAGAATAATGAGAAAGGTCTGCGTAAAAAGTTAGATGTACTATATTGATAGGTGTATGTGTGTGCATATACTTTTCTTTGTTTCTTTTTTAGGTTTGATTACTCGGGAGTCGGACAATCAGATGGCATTTTACACCAATGCACAGTCGGGAAATGGAGGAAAGATGTTCTTTCTATAATTGATGAGTTAGCTGACGGGCCACAGGTGGCTACTTACATTAAATATTTCACTTTGACCTCATGTTTGAGCTGTTTCCTTTAGATATAAACGTTTATTTAATGTTTTAAGTTTTTAAAATATCAAATATTACTTAAATTGGTATGTCATTTTCACTTTCTAATGATATATAAGTAGCATTTTAGTTTTGTACAAACTTTCCATGCTTTCTTATGGAACAAATACATATCTATAATTTAACTCTACTTTCTGCCACATAGTAAAGTCTGTGGGAGCCACATGTAGATGTAAGGGGGGAAAAGTACATACCGTATACACTCGAGTATAAGCTGACCCAAATATCAGCCAAGGCACCTAATTTTACCACGAAACTGCTTAAAACGTGCTGAAATGCTTAGCTTATACATGAGTATATATGATCAATCTCTGATAAATTACTCATTATATGCAAGGAAAAAAATCCTTTTGAAAACTCTCCATATTTTTATGTTCAGATCCTCGTTGGATGTAGCCTGGGTGGCTGGCTTATGCTCCACACAGCCATTGCCCGGCCAGAAAAGGTGGCCGCACTGATTGGGGTGGCTACTGCTGCAGACAGCTTTGTGACACAGTTTAATCAGCTTTCTGTTGAGGTAAGTCACACCCCACTCTAGCAACCTCCATGTGAGCAGACTTGCCTGATGCAACAGGCCATTGGACTGCTGCTTCCCTCAGTGCTGTTTATGGATCCAAACAGAAAGAAATTCTTGCCAGTGTCCATCTTTTGTCCATTCATCATAATGCTGTCTCTTGCTCCAGTTGTGAGGATTTGGGTTTTCTTTACATTGAACCATCATCTATCCTGAAGACTGCAGTCCTTGATCTTTAGCAACAAGTGCTTCAGGTCCCTTCACTTTCCACAAGTTAGGTTATCTCATCTGCCTGTTGCTAATAAGCCTTCCTCCAGACTTGATGCTGAGTTTGAGCATGCAAATTGACTACCACCTTGACAAACACTTTTCCTGATTTAAACTATGCAAGCTTTCCTCGGTCCACATATGGGTTCTGCACGAGCACCATGTCGTTTTCTGAACTTCTCCTTCTCATTGCTATCCATCGCTTGTTATGATCCACACAATAGAGTGCCTTTGCACACCCAATAAAACACAAATAAACATCTTTGTGGTATTCTCTGCTTTCAGCCAAAATCCATGTGCTGTCAACGATGATCAAGTCTGTTGTACATCCTCTTCTCCGTCTGCCTGGAATCTCCTCCAGCTGAACTGGCCTGTCCCAACTGTCTTTGAGTGGTCGTCAGCAAAAAATTTTACTTGCATGTGATATTAATGATATCGTTGGGTAATCTTCACATTCTGTTGGGTCACCTTTCTTTGAGATGGGTACAAATATGAATCTATCCCAGTTGGTCGGCCATGTAACTGTCTTGCACATTTCCTGGCACAGACGAGAGAGTGCTTCCAGGGCTTCGTTGACTTGTAGAGATATCTCAATTGCTGTCCCATCAATTCCTGGAGCCTTGTTTTGGGCTAATGCTTTGAGGGCAGCTTGGACTTCTTTCTTCGGTACCATTGGCTCTTGATCATATGCTACTTATTGAAATGGTTGAATGTTGACCAGTTCTTTTTGGTATGGTGACTCTTCCGTGTTATTTTGGTGCTTCCTGCATTTTACCCACAGAATCCTTCGATATCGCAACTCGGGGCGTCCTTCAGTTCTTCCTCGTGAGGCGTGCTGAGCATGTTCTTCCTAATTTGACTTTCTACTCCAGGATCGCACATTTCATTATAATACTTGTCTTCTTGCACTGTCCTTTGAAATGTTCTTTTTAGATTTTTACTAATTTCTTCCATTTACTTTAGCTACCGGACACTCAAGAGCAAGTTTCAGAGTCTTCTGACATCCGATTTGGTCTTTTCTTTCTTTCTTGTCTGTTTAGTGACCTGCTTTCTTCCTGTCTGATCATCTCAGTGCCATCTCACGGCTGCTCGGGTCTTCTGTCCTTAGTGTCTGCTGCACCTCATCTGCCCTTGAGGTGTTCTCGAAATTCCGATGGGATATTCTTTCTCATCTTGGCTCTTGGGAAGTTCAGAACTTGCTCTTGAAATTACATTTGAGCAATTGATTGCTGGTCTGTTCCAGTCAGCGCCAGATCTCCTGTCGAGTCATGATGCTGAGCTTTTCTGTCATCTCTTCCCACAGATGTCGTCAGTGTGAGTCCATCTAGCTCGGTCCATGTGTACAGTCACTGCTTACGTTGTGGCAAACAGGTATTTGCTGTGAAGAATCTGTTGATCTTGTAAAATTCTATCATGCAATATCCAGCTTTGTGGGTACTACTAAGGCCACGTTTTCCAGCTACTGTCCCTCTTTTGTTCCCAAGTTTTGTATTCCAATCGCCAGTAATTATCAATGCATCTTGATTGCATCCTTGATCAATTTCAGACTGAACAATGTGGTAGAATTCTTCAATTTCTTCTAGCTTTAGTGGCTGGTTTGTAAATTTGAGTAATAGTTTGTTGCATTACTTGGACTTCCACTTTAGTATTTGCTCTCACGGCCAACCAAAAGTTGATCTGCCTTGCCTTTATCTTGCATTTTTAAAATTCTTTGTACCATTTTGGTTTTTCTCTCTTACACAATTGCTTGATGGTGCTAACGTTTCCTAGCATACCATCGTGGTCATGCAAACCTTGGAGCCCATATTGCATCTTCCAACTCAGTAATCTCTGTCACGGTGCTCTTCCTTGTAGGAAAAGGGTTCATTTACCAAATGTGTTTGATTATTGGTAAATGACAACTTTGTGTGTGCGCACACGTGTGTGCATCTGCACCACTCAGAATGAATGTGAGGTAGACACGCCCTAAGGGACTGTGGCAGGGCCCGAATTTGCTGGCTCCCAGGATAGCAGTCCTTTAGAGAAGCGGCCTGCACTGTGATGAACTTGAAAGCCTGCGAAAGGAAAGAGCAGGGGCATTAGGACACAAATAGCTAGTCCTAGCTCGGCCAGGCGGAGTGAGCTTTGTGTTTGTTTGTGTTATTTCACCGTGTGGATAGCCTTGGGAGAATGTTGACCCACATTTCTCCCGTCCTGTGTGGAAACTTTACCTCCACCCCTTCAGTGCCGCTATTCATGATGTCCCCCCTTGGCCACTAGAGGGCCGCTGAGAACCAGTAACTGTTGGGGATCTGAGTTTATGAGCCTCACTAATCTTAGTGTAGAAAGTGTCAATACTGTCCATTTTCTTTTAGTAATTCTAAAATTACTCTTTCTGGGATTTGTAGATATAAGGGTTGGGGACATACACTGTATTGTAAGTTTAAGCTTGTTCCTGAAATGGACATGCATTCAAATCAGTGACCAAGAACAGTGTGGTGAGGAGTAGGTGCCCTTAGTGGCCCATAGTGGCCCTGTCTGGTCCTGCGCGTGAACCGATTGTTGCAGCATGATGTCACCCCCTCTCGCAAGGGCCTTCCCTTTTTTTAACTGTCCGTCTTTACCAAGCATGATGTCCTTTTGCAGGGACTGGACTGTCCTGACATGTCCAAAGCATGGCAGATGGAGTCTCGTCATCCTTGTGTCTAAGAAACACGCTTGCAAGACCCACTGGTTTGTCCTTCTGGCCATCCGTGGTACTTCCAGTATTCTTCCCCGATCCTTGTGTCTAAGAAACACGCTTGCAAGACCCACTGGTTTGTCCTTCTGGCC